GCATCTGACAGGTTCATAGCTGCCTTGGGAAGCACCAGCACTGGAGCAAGGCTATGTTCTCAGTATCATTTCAAGCTGTCTGTCTTGCGTTTGCGGAGAGGTACAGGAAAGGCAGATCTGGCTGGGAGCTTCTACTGCCCATATGGGCTACAGACAGCAGCTGCCCATTTTGGGATGAAGCAGCAGAAATCTTTAGGAGTGGTAAGTTTAAGTGGCAAATTTGAGTGGCCTGTTACAGTGTGGCTATAGCACTTTCATCGACCTAGGGCACAAAAGTCCTCTGTAAGAGCCCTTGAGGAAACACAATGTAGTCCCAAAATTAATGAGAAGTCAAGGAAATAAGTTTTTGTTCTCCATCCCTGCATATTTTACTGCTCTGAGTGTAATTTCATACTTAGGCAGGGAGGGTAGGATTACACAAAATATGATTAACCATTAGAAATGGAGAAGAGTAAATTGGATCAATCCGTGCATCCRTTTTTAGAAACCTGAAGCAATGGACATAGGACACCGTAGTGCGATGTGCTGTACAGACACAGGATACRAGGTCTCTACTTTTTGGCACCGAGCAGTTAAATTTAAAATTAAAGACAATGGACCAAAAGAGACAAATCAAGACAGGACAACAACTCAGGCATCCTGACAGACTTGTATGGCAGTTCCTCACTGTTGCAGCTCTTCTCCAAAAAGGATAGTCTTGAGGAGTGTAATGAAATACTTGAAGAACAGTGTATAATGACAAGCTTACTAATGTTTATGGAGAAAGCCTTCCTGTGAGAGAGATGTTGGGAACAGGAAGCTTGGAGATCTCTGTCCAACTAAGCCATGGCATTAGCACACATTTGACATGGCTGTGTAGAACACTTGAACTGGCTTTTTGCTGGCCTAATCTGTCCAAATGTTAAAAAAAAGTCATTGGATAGAGAGAAGAGAGGGGAAAGAGAAAGAAAAAAGTCACATCTATTGTGTAAATAAGAGCCATGCCATAGGCTGGGTGGAAATGTGGCAGCATTTCAAGTGTGTGCTACTCCCCACTTTGATGCAAACCTGTTTTCTAAATCTCTGCCTGAGATCAAGGCTCAAGGATGGGAAGAGAGAAATGGACTTTTGCAGAAATGCAATGTTTTGCCTGTCTTGTGACCAGGCACATATCTAGCTCTGAATTTGAATGTCAGTCATCAGAATAGGATGTCTCAGTAGGATGTGTCAGTAAATTCCCTACTGGGAAAAGGCAAAGAATGGTCATGAAGGTGAGATGCTTGTGAGCCAGAGGTGTTGTGCTAAAGTAGAAATTATGTCTACAAACCAAATACAGAGTATGCAGACTTTTTGACTGTCCCAGATAGATCACCTTGAAGCAATTTCCTGATGTAAATTAGCTTCCCTTGAAAYATCCCAGAAAAAAATGTCAGTCTGCTGCAGGGAAACTGAAATATTTCTCATAGAGGAAGATTAATGAAAATACAATCTGGAAAAAAAAAAGTAATCTATAGGTGAGTATTATGTACAGTGAAAATGTGGCTGTAGAAAGAGGTTAAAGATTAACTGATCATAGGGAGGAAATTAGTTGGTTTCTCATATTTAATATCACAAGGTGCTTTCTAAAAATGAGAATTGAAATTGCACAGAGTATTATTTTGCAATGGTAATATAAATATGTAATGCCATAGCATCCTGAATGGTTCTGTAGCAGCAATGAAACAGAAATGAGGGAAATAATGATGCTGGAGTAAGACCATAACCCTGAATTTAAAAAAAATGCCCTAGTCCCATACTTGCCAGAAAATTCCTTTATCTAGACCCCAGTGCTAATGGAAGTTTTTCACTCTACCTATGTACTCACTCATAAGAGGCAATGTGCAGGGTACTGTGGGTTTTAGAGTGTGTCCCTCCTCTGTCCTTCCCCATCCCTGTCCTTGTTTCTATTATGATTCTGTTCCTGTTCAGATGGAGACCCATTGGAGCACTCTGTAAAGCCTTCTTTTCCCATACACCTGAATTTCCTTCCAGTGAAATCCAGGATACAGGAAGGGGGAAAAATTGTATGTCTGAACCTTATTTTCATGTGCAGTTACAATGTGGCTAGGATACATTTTGAAACTGGTGTCTCTGATCCTACAATTTTAGACACACCCAAAAGGAACAAGTTGCATGATATCAGATTTTAAAAAATTAGGGATTAAACTGTGTTTCTCACTGCCTTCCACGGTAAACTGGAATAATATTTTACAGCATAGCAAGGAATTCTGACAAAGTCAGCTGTTTTTTTCATAATCAGACAAGCCCATCAGGAGAATAATTATTTGTTTATAAGCACTTGATTTGCATGTGGCTTTAAAATTATCCATGAAAGGTGGAGTTAATATATATATTCTGAATGTCTGAATGTGGAATGGATGCTGTGACAATTAAAAAGGCTAAGGAAGCCTATGGAAAATGGATAGGGAAACATCTGTCTGAGATTTTAGTTAATTAAAACATGTAATTCATTAAAATAACAAAACACAGCAAATTGATTCAATACCATCTGTCTCAGGTAATCCTAAGTATATAGTCATAATATTGCATCATTTGAGTAACAATCATAGTTGAACAAACATTTTCAAAGAAAGATAAACCCATCAAGCACAAGTTTCTGTGTGTGAACTCAATGAGGACCCTAGTCCTCAGTCAGGACTGGGCCTCAGTATTAAAAAAAGCAACMAGGAAAGGGAGTGAAAAATAATTGAGGACTAAACAGCAGGTTTTAACATATTTAAAACTGTTGATTAATACATCCTTGACTAACAAAAAGGATATTTTGACTTCTTAATTACTCAAGTCTTGCCTCATTTAGACAGTATTTTGTTATTTAGAGTCTTCCTTCACAGATTTTTATCAGAAGCAGAATGAACAGCAATCAAAATATGCACTAGAATGTTTTCCTTTGAGGGAAAAAAAAAGAAGAAAAGCTTATTCCTCCTATGACAGTGTTTGAATTTTAATGTAAAATGCATTCTGAGATAATCCTCACTTACAGAGGCTTGTTCTTTCACTGAAGGATGACAGGCTTTTAAATCTGCCAAAGATGGGTTCAGAACTTTCTTTCTGTCTGCATTACTTCTGCAGTACTTGCTGACACCATTGSTGCTTAAAGGAGCATAAGGATTTTACCTTAAGGGTGAGCTGTAGAAATGGGAAATGCTGACAGCTGGGCCTCGAAGGTATAGAAGGAACTTATGCTAAAACCATCTTTAAAAGAACAAAAAGGATAAGTAAGGATAAMAAATTGTCAGGCTTTAAAAGAGATTCTTTCTATACTCACTAATTCACATTAGGTGTATCCATGTTATCAATTGCAAGATGTTAAGGCTATGTCTGTGCTAGCAAATTAAATCTGCTTATTATCCTGCTGAGGCCCACTGTGACTGTCCATTTTGGTAAACTCTCTTTTCTCCCCAACCAGGGTGGCTGCATCCAAGCTGCACATTGCGAATGGTCCGTGACTGATTACCCAGGGGCTGTCTGGGGAAGGGCTGTACGCCCTGGCACAAGTGTCAGGAGAGCCTTCTGACGGGAGCTCTTGCTGGTATATTTCTTCCAGCTTAATAGTCTGGATGCTCAAATGTTGGTTCCAAGAGACATTTACTATTTACTTCACCAGTCTAGGGAGAGCAGTGCATTTGTCTGCTAACATGAATAAATGTGCTGAAGTCAGCAGAATAACTCATACTAATGAAGGCATAAATCTTGTATGTTGTACAATTGAAGTAAAACTACAATCTGATTAGTAATTATTACAACATCAGTCTCTGCATAGTTATATGCATTTATTTTGTGAAGCCAGAGACCTCTGAAGATCTGGTGGCTATTTATATGCCCAGAGTTTGTTGCATACTTAAGGGTTTGACATACTGTGGTCAAGACAAAGACACTGGAAATGCACTTTACAATATTCAGTTTATTTGTTTTGGCAACTGAAATCTATTTGATATTTCTGTTGTACTTGACTATGTCCTGATTCAGAAAATTGAAATTTTGAATGATTTGGTTTGGTGAAGGTAATGCCCTTACCACAAGACAGGAGATGTATGAACAATTGAAAGGAGCTAGAGCACTACCAGAATTTCAAAGCCAGCACAGTTTTATTGTGCTTTTCTCCAACAAAGCCTTTGGATTCACCTATAGGGAATAGTATGTGGATATTATATTTTATAGTTTCAGCAAAGGACATACCAAACATGCAGTGACCTGCTAGCACCTCACCAATGTAGGATTATGGGTGAGATGTACAAGACCATGGGAAGTAAAATATTCCTTGTTCAAATTTAATGGATAAGCTTCACAAACATTCTCTTAAAATTAAGATTTCCATACATAGTTATCAACCCTTACTTCCTGGTCACACAGGATCTGGTTCTAGATTTCAGGCCTGCAGCAAAAGAAGCAAAGCAACAGAGCAGGAAAAGGTAGAAGACAAAATTAGTATTTATTTTTCACTTACCTAAGTAACCAAGTATTTCCATTTGCCATACAGCAATTGAAACTTGGTTTCCAACTCATTTTCTTCTGTGGTGGATCTTCGCCCCCCAACTGACCTAAGGTGTGTCCCTCTCAGAAAGTGTTTTTCTCCGGGGCGGTTTGTAACTCGTTACAGTGTGGCCCTTTCTGAGAAGCGTTTTGCCCCCTTGCTGAAGCTCTCTGTGCAGCTGCGTGGTGTTATAAGGTGTGTCCTCTCGGGAAGCGTTTGGGGCTTTTTGTGATTTTTATGGTGTGGCCCTTCCCGAGAAGCTTAAGGCCCCGACCTGCAGCTCACTGGCTTGGTACCGTAAAGTGTGTCCTCCTGAGGAGTGCTTTTGGGGGTGCCTGGTTGTCTTAAGGTGTGACCCTCCTCAGGAAGGTGTGTCACCCCTTCTTTAGTAACTTTTTGTGTGCTTTTGGGGGGCGCTTCGTTTGGGCGTTTAGTGTGTTAAGGTGTGACCCTCCCCGAAAGTTTTCTGCCCGAGAAAACACATTTCACAATGAACGTCAGTGTTGTGACTGGGGAGCCGGGCGGAGACCCGTCTGCTCCCTTAATGGATTTTTTGGAGGGCTTTAGAGCCAGACCTTGCATGGCAGGATTAGAGTGGGCAAGGGACCACTGGCATAGTGCACAAAGCATTATAGACCGGGTCTCGGTTTTGCGGACAAAAGCAAAATCCAAACCTGGGAGGGGAAAAGTGGCTGTGTGCACTGTCCTGGGGGCAGCTCTGGCAGCTGCTATACAGGAGAGGGCTGCTCGGCACTGCAAGGAGACGGCAGCGATCGAGTCTTTAAAGGGGCTGGTGCAGACCCTGCAGATCCGTATCGCAGACCTGCGGGGGCAACTAGAAGATGAAAAAGCACGTAGTGAAAGTTTGCAGCAAGTTTTAGAGGATGTGCTATCGCGAGACTCTAGCACGCCGGTCCCTGTCACAGCCACGCCGGTCCCAGCAGCCACTCCGGTCCCTGCCACAGCTTCACTGGTCCCAGCAGTCACGCCGGTCCCTGCCCCGACTGTGCCAGTCCCGGCAGCCGCACCGGTCCCTGCCCCAGTTCTTGCTGGTGTCACGGCTAGTGTCGTCGCTCCCTCAGAACTCAGAAGGGAGCCTGCAGCAACATTGAGCCGAGCTGACACTGCGGTCTGTGTTCGCCCCTTAATAAAAACTGAATATACATATGAAGGTGGCCAGGATGAGGCCCCCCKTGTAACAACTAAAGAAGTGCCTTTTACACCTATGGAACTGGCTAAACTGAAAAGGGAATTTGGCCGCCGCCCTGGTGAATCAGAAACTGAGTATGTCTTCCGTGTTTCCTTAAGTGGGGGGGACCAGATCTCACTCAGTGAGAAAGAAGCAGAGGGATACTGGGGTCCTAGTGTGTTCCTCACCACGGGAGACAACAGGGCACCATGGTCTCTGACCCAGAGGGCAGCATATTGGGCTGGTGGTCTAGATCCCTTGGAGAGAGGTGATCCCCTCACCATAGAAGGAACCACAGACCAGCTGCTACAGAGCATTCATAAGGCTGCTTGCCTACAAATGATGTATGATCGCAAGCTAGTCCCTTTCCAGGAATCACCCATGATGGTCTCAGTAGATGCCAAGAAAATGACTCCCCTAAATCGGGGGCTTCCTGACTCTCTAAAATTTTTGGTATTCAATTACAGGGAAAGTTAGAGGCTTTAGCCCCCTTAAAGAGAATCATCACTGCTCTGAGAGGTACCACTTCCTCTCCTGAAGGGGATACCCTGGCACGAGAAAACAAGATCTGGACCTGGTGAGACATCGCCCGGGAATTAATCAATTTTGGGAAAAAATACGGTCCTGTAAAATCAGCTGTAAGCCAACCAGAGACTTGTGGGGTGAGGCATACCCGTCTCAGCCCAAGGGTATCAACCAGACTGTCATCCAGGATTCCTCCCCGCTCCAATCTAGGTGGAAGGGAGCACCTACTCACAAGGCAAGCTATATGGGCACAGGGGTGGAGGAAGGGAGTCCCAAAAAGGGTGATGGATGGTCTCCCCACAGACAAATTGGAAAAGGTGGTGGCTGTATGGCCAGAAAATATGTTCAAAGGACCGAGCATGGGAAAGTGTGTTAGGAGCCCTAGCACACTCCCCTTTAATCGAAGTAGGTGGGGAAGAAGGTGTGATAATGAAACTAAAGCGGGTAGACTAAAAGCTCCGTATCCTTTTGGGAGGTGGGAGCACAACAGCTGGTTTAAATGTAGAATCCAGTAAAAAATCACGGGGTGGCACAGAGAGCTTCAGTAAATGGTATGGGAAGGGACYGCCAAATTGCTAAGCATTCAGGAAAGGAGCACCTTGGGTCAGGAGGGTGACACACCTCTCTCCAGTCTGTCTTCCTATCCTGTCTCTACCTATACTGACTCCTTTGCTGTCTTTAAGGGCGGTACTGAATGGCTCCCATTTTTTAGAACACAATGAGTGGGAAGTGAATGGCTGCCCCAATGCTTTTGTTAATGCTTTTTATCCTCAAGCACCCACAACCCTGCCTGTTTGCGCTAGCCGGGACACACCCCAGCAACCAACCCATCCTTCTCTCCTGGACAGCTGCTGCTGGTAGAACTCCTAACCATCAGAACAGTGCTGTTAGTGCTTGAACACTTTGAACAAACACACCTGGAGGGCAAGAGATGCCTGTGGAAAAGTGTGGATTAAAGGAAAAGTAAGCGGGCCCATGTCCCAGTCCAAACCTAGGATTCCTGGAACTGGGACCCATTCTCTTGACTACCTGGGGGACCCTGAGTGAAGCATATTCTGTTATGTTGATTTCGTGTTTAATCCATTTAGTTCACCATGCTATTGGGAAAATGGGTGCCATGGTTATGACATCCACTGACAATGTCAAATATGTAAGGCTGGTAACCCTGTCAGGAAACCAGCCCACTGAGGTTCAAGTTATCTAAACGCTTTCTTCTCTTTTCCTGCCTTTTTYCCCCCTGTATCGTTGCCACCAGACAACCAGTGTTGAGCCACGGGGTGGTGTGAGGAGCCAYTTTAATCTTGGTTTGCCTCAACACTGCCTGTCAGAGGCATGTGGGGGAAGGGGTGCACACGTGCAGCCTGCAGGAGGCAAACAGGAGATG